TTGCAGTGTAACCTAATTATGGAAGTTCAATTACAGAGATGAACAGAATTTCAACTAATACAAAATCTTTACTATAAACAACTGCCGTTACTGACCCACTGTGTTATAGGCCTTTAGAGTGATGACTTCAGTTTAGTTACCTTAAAACTGACTACCTCCATTCCCAGGACGGAGGAGTAGAAATGGGTGGTTTTCTTCAAATCCCGAACCGTCAAAACAAGATGGTCCAAACGGCTGATTTGAACTGGACATGAACTTTTCAGACGGGTTGAAAGTGACCCACTGAAGACGGTGGACTTTGTGAAGAAAAAGGAAACATTTAGGATTAGTGACTAAATTTCAGATTAATCTTGGGTTTAACAATGCAATTTTAGTTGAACTCCAGCCTAAACCTGTGGAAGCCTGTTTACACCACTGGAAAGGAATATACAGCCATTTAAGTCAAAATGATGACAGTGTTTCCCATAATTAAGACTTAGCATCTCATAATTACAACTTGCTGTCATATTTATGGCTTACCTTCTCATAATTATGCCTAGGTATGTCATAATAATGAGATTCAATCTTATAATTAAGAGTTAATATCTCAAAATTATGACTTAGCATCTCATTATAATGACTTTATATGCCATAATAATGACCTAGTATCTCATAATTATGTCTTACTATGCCACCCTGAAATTTTGACTTAGCATCTCTGAATTCTGACTTACTTTCTTCTAATAATGAGAAAATGTCCTCATTATTAAAATAGTAAGTAATTAGTAGTAATCTCATTACTATGAAACACTAAGTCGTTATTATGGAAAACTTTCTCATTATTATGACTTATTAAATGTCTATACTTTTTTCCAGTGGCGGAAATGTAATCCATATAAACCCACATTTGCTGACTATGTCTCTGATTTTCTGGGTTCTCTCATTTTAGCAGTAGGCTAGTAGTTTTTTTTTACATGGTCGCTTATTCGAGTGATTACGGTACAAGGAAATACACAATATATAGGTTGAAAAGGTCTGTAAAATAGACAATACTGATCATTATTTATTGTCAGAATGAAGCAAACCCGTTAATAATAGTCTTCTTGTTGTTAAAACACATTTGGTCGCTACAGCTGAGCATATAAGGCTACTGTAAAAGTTTGCGCAGGCGCTTTTGAAGCGCCGATCTACTCAGCCTCGTCCCAACCGTAACAGAGTCAGGACAGTAAAGAGGTAAAATAATCGTTGTGTGACTTTACCGTGATCGAGCTCGCGTGGCGAAAAACGCAGAGGGTTCTCAAAGCCATTGCACCCCTAGATGGCCACACTACGTCACAAGGGGACCCTACTTCACGACGAAGTAGCACTAACTGCCAGCTGTTGATGGGAAGTTCAGTGGACAGCGATTTCAGAGTGCGCGACGCTTTACCGTAATTACTGAAGCCCCACCTGTTGCTGTACTAAAGGTACGTTTAATTGGTAACGGACACTAAAAGCAGCTGAAGGTAATGGTCAAATTAACGGACACACTTTAATTAATGAAAGATATATGAGGTCAGAGGCTACAAAACAGGCAGTACTTCAAACCAAAGCCACTGAACTCCACCAAATCATAACCCTAAATAAAGACAGTAGGGCGATTCATGGATTCCACATACCTGTGCGACTCCAGCAAACCCCACCTTGGTTTCCCAAGGTGTTTCATCATTTAGTGTCATTCTGAGAAAATACAGTACCACAAATCCATAAATTGAGTTACTGAATATACACCAACCAGCCACATTAAAACCACCTCCTTGCGAATGACCCCCCACCCAAACAATACCTGCTCTGTGGGGGTCCTGACCACTAAAGAACAGGGTAAAAGGGGGCTGACAAAGTATGCAGAGAAACAGGACTACAGTCTGTAACTGTAGAACTACAAAGTGCAGCTATGTGGTTAGCAGAGCTGATAAAATGAACAATGTAATCACAGTGATTATATAATCGTCTAATCGCAATGATTTTCCACATTCATTAGATTTAAGCAGCAATGTGAACTTGGTTCTTTGGCTAAAGGCAAATAAAACGAGAGCAGTAAATCAAACAAAGTTCTGGCGTCTAACTTGGTGCTCTACCGTTTAGAGGGCAGCGTGATTAATTCATTTATTTTTACAGCATGTAGATTTGCTCAACTCTACATGTAACTGTGTACAGCGTTTAGTGTATCAACAGTACAACCGGTATTAGCTACCAGGTAAACACAGCTAGGAAGGAAGATGACTAATCAGCCCATTTAGCCACTTAAGGCTTCTCATCAGATAGATGTACACAATGCATAAAAAAGAGAATTAAGTTGTTAATTGCAATTATTTATGACAATCATCAGCTAAAATTTTACAACAGACTGTAGTCCATCTGTTTCTCTGCATACTTTCTTAGCCCCCTTTTACCCTGTTCTTCAGTGGTCAGGACCCCCATGGACCCTCACAGAGCAGGTACTATTTAGGTGGTGTGTTAGTGTGTGTTGTGCTGGTACAAGTGGATCAGATACAGCAGTGCTTCTGGAGTTTTTAAACACTGTGTCCACTCACTGTCCACTCTATTAGACACTCCTACCTCGTCAGTCCACCTTGTAGATGTAAAGTCAGAGACGATAGCTCATCTGCTGCTGCAGTTTGTGTTGGTCATCCTCTAGTCCTTCATCAGTGGTCACAGGACGCTGCCCACAGGACGCTGTTGGCTGGATATTTTTGGTTGGTGGACTATTCTCAGTCCAGCAGTGACACCGAGGTGTTTAAAAACTCCAGCAGCACTGCTGTGTCTGATCCACTCAGACAAGCACAACACACACTAACACACCACCACCACATCAGTGTAACTGCAGTGCTGAGAATGATCCACCACCCAAATAGTACCTGCTCTGTGAGGGTCCATGGGGGTCCTGACCACTGAAGAACAGGGTAAAAGGGGGCTAACAAAGTATCAGAGAAACAGATGGACTACAGTCTGTAACTGTAGAACTACAAAGTGCACCTATATAGTAAGTGGAGCTGATAAAATGGACAATGAGCGTAGAAACAAGGAGGTGATGATAATGTTATGTCTGATCGGTGTGTGTATATTCTATATATGTATGTAAGTACTACAAAGGGGTCTACATACAAATCTCACCCACCTTTGTACTTTTGTAAATGTCATGTGACAAACATGATTTGATTTGATTTGAAGTCTATATGGGACAACTTAAACGTTTAAACGTTTTAGGCAGTGCTTTTACAGGCATACAGTTTGCAAAATAATAATTACAGGTTAAACTTCCATTAATTATTACCTACATTAGCTCCAATACACAACTGAAAGAGCAAACTTTAGACTAAACATTCCCTAGTATAACAACTGCATTTGGGGTAAAAGTCATCAGTTTGATTCTTTGCCAGAGATTCAGAGATTAAATTGAGAGATTCTGATGCTCCCTAGGCTGCTAAGCAGAGCCTTTCAGTGTAGAACATCAGCAGAAGTAGTTCACAGCACTATATTCATATTCCAGAGAAACAAACAGGCCACTGTGGTTGCACATATCTTTATTGTAATATACAAATAACATTGTGGCTTGATGAAGCCAGAACAGACTAGTTTGTAGCTGCTTCTCAGCTCAGCAGACTGCAGAAATGTCCAATGTCCAATGATCCTGGAGGAAAACTGGTGGTGCAAAACACATCACCTAAATAACCAAGTGTCAACGAATGCGAAGTCAACATAAAAGTCAAATCCCCCAACCACAACTTTAGGAACAGCTCTACTGATGAAAACCACCTCTGGAACTCAATGTTTTCCAGCTCGATTTAAGACAGAAATACAAGCCCACACTCCGTCTCCTGAGGTTCAGAAGATCATACCATGACTCATCGGGTTAATAATAGAGCAAACTGAATACAAGGTGAAAAAAAAACATGAGAAAATACTGACAATGTGCAGAACAAGAATTAATTTCATGGCGAGTGGTCGAAGGAGCCTCACCTCCTGGATTATTAAATGTCACCGCTCCAGACTCAGAAGTTAGGTCTAAGGAAAGATGCATTCTGGAGTCGATTTACACGACACACTGGTCTACAGTGCATAGTTAATGTGGTCAGTTTGTGAGCAGATAAGCATAATTCACAAACAGTCCCCCCATCACAACTCAACAAGGAAAGAACAGAGATGAAGCCGGGGGAACTTATGGGAACTTGATACATTAATGCTCCTTAAAAATTTAAAATGAGTGAATTGGCCGTACAAAGTGACATATTGCAAACTGGGTTGCGGTTAAGATGTAACTTGCATTTATTAAAGAATTTTAATTTAACTATATTAAGGACAACTGGACTAGAGGTTGCATGCCAACAGTGCAAAATACAAACCTGCTGTGAACAGACAGACATCATACTCAGAGTTAGCTCCAGTGCAGAAGCACCGAGAAGATCTTAGGATTTTTGTTTTTACTGATTCTATAGAATAGCTCTTCAACCACAAACTTTATTTTTTTTAATCTCTTGAGAGGAAATCGTAACACATAAAAACCCTACTCTTGGATAATATGACAACTTTGATACCCTTCTAAGTGTTTGAGCTCGGCACGACAGTGTAGTGCTATTGCAATATACAGAAACTGTAAAGAACCTTTGCATTTCAAGCGATACGTCTTCAAATCTTCACAGTCTACAGCAAGTTCGTACAGGTCAAATTCTTTACAGTCTTCCTCGTTAGGAAATATTGCACTAACATCTGTGATATGTAGGCAAGTCTCCTCGATTCTGCGGTCGATGCAATGGTACGCTTATCTTTGTATACCACTGTCAAAGCTGAAAAGTCTTGGAAGCAACTGCAAAAGAATGGCAACAATGATTTGTCCTCGAATTTCCGAATACCGAATAACTTCACCACAATATTAATGGATAATCATTCATTACAAATGTCTTATCCTGAAGTTCGCTTTTTATCCCTGAGGGACGATTACTTCTTTTTTTCAGACAGATTACGCCAAGTTTAGTGAGAAAATTACGATTTCCTTTTAGCTATGTCTTTTAGTCCATTAGACTAGGCCTAATCTGTGTCAGAAAACCCAGGCCGAAGTGGAAGGAAAGGTTCTTGTTAAGCCAAACCCAAACCTAACCTATATAAAAGCATTAAATAACATTAAAGTTCTCTACATTTATGTATACTTAAGTAATAATGACGCTGGTTAATGTTTGAGAACCTAACATTGCAGACATGAGTCGGACCCAAACAACACTTATGATAATCAAAACAAACAAAAAAAAAAGTATATAAATAGATCCTTCAACCATCAAAATTCATGTATTCACATCACACCCGAGCTCATGTACAAATGATTGGTTCTCAATTCTTGAAACTGTTACCTTTTTGGTGAACAATATTCAATGGACTCCATCGTGTGTGAGTCAATGTTTCAAAGCAAGCGAAAGAAAGGGTATTTTATATAAACATGTCAAAGTATGTGCCACTACAAATGCACTCCGCACATCCAATAAAACTTTCAATGGCTTAAAATAGGTTGGGTTTGACCGTGTCTATGAGACACCTCACATCACAAGGTACCAAATGCTATTGTAAGGCGAAAGAATAATTGAAATATGATGGGAGACTCTGCACTATAGCTAGACGACGCTCTCGCGGTTGGCAGAAACGAGGACTGCCCTGCGGCAGATGGGGCAAGTAGAGTTCTCCGAAAGCCAGCGGTCGATACAGTGCACGTGGTATTCGTGCGAGCAGGGCAGCTTGCGGAGCTTGTTACCTTCTGCGTACTCTGTGATGCAGACACTGCAGGTCTTGAACGCATCGCTCTCGCCGAAGTTGCGCATTGAGAGGTTGTCGATCTGCTCTTTGGTGAGGCCCCTGGGCTGGTCGTCATCTTCGTCATTGAGTAAGAAGAAATGTGCAAGTCGCAGAAAGGGCAGAGAGGCGGTCTCCTCGAGGCTAATGGCAGCTCGCGGCCTCTGCCTGCTCTCTCGCTGCTGGGAGGGTTCCGCACTTCCCTCCCTCTCCTCTGTTCGTGCTTCTGTGGCATCACCCTCGTTTGAGATTCCGGCACTAGCAACGGGAGCTTCAGGTACAGAAGTGCTGGCAGTGTCAGGATTTACCGGCGTGTCAGGGAGATCTGTAGAGGGGTTGGAACCGCGGTTTGAGTCTGAAGAGTCCGAGTCGGAGTCCATAAAGTAGCTAAGTTCGGCAAAACCAGTCATGATCTGCCGGATCATTGACTGTAGAGCCAAAGAGGTGGCCTCACCAAGACCAGCGTCAGAGATCCTCCTGATGGGAATGCGGATCGTGCTGACGTATGTCCTCACTCCTGCCCGCTCAGAACGGGAGAAGGTCCTGCGAAAGCCTCCGCGTTCGGTTTCATACAAGAAAGTGTTGTTGGAAGTCTGCGAACGAGAGCGGGTGCGGTTGGCAATGCTGTCTCTCTCACGGTACTCACCTGGCCGCACCCTACGCACCTGCAAGTCCAGCATTATAGTCGGAGGGCGCCGGCCTGAAGCTCCTGCTTCTCCAGCAGGAGCCTCCCCTTGCTGAGGAGCTGGAGGTGGCTCGGGATCTGCTACAGACTCCTGGCTTTCCACCTGAACACTGCTCTGCCTAGACAGAACATGCAGCCTAGTCCTGGAACTGCCCTCTATCTGAGGAGCTGCTTCCGAGAGGGGTTCGTGACTGCGAGAAGGCAGGCCACTGCGTGCCTGAGGAAGCCCGTCCAACTGGTCAAGGTTGAGAGGTAAACGACTCCTAGCTGTACGGGCCCTGGTTCTGCGCTGTTCCGGACTTGGGCTACGTGCTCTAATCTGGCCTCTACGTGGCTCTACTGGGGTAACAATTGGAGGAGTTAAAACCTGAATCTGTGGACTAGGTTGGCTGGTTACAGTTGGACTGTCAGGAACAGGCAGCTCAGGCTCCACCATGACAGCCATTTCCTCCACCACAGGCTCCTCGACCACCTCTGCTGTCTCCATGGGCGCCTCAGGCTCAGACACAGGACCATCTGGAGGGGCTTGGTCTCCCTCCAGCCGCTCAGCGTCAGTCTGTGTTTGCTGCTCGGCTATGTTGCGATTGACATTGATCTCCAAGCTGAAACGGAAGTCTCCACTACTTGGATTGGTTCGGCTCACCGCCCGCCACGACTGGTTGCCCCGGTGACCACTTCTCGTGGTGTTGCCAGTCTGACGCACAGTGTTGAGCCAGTCGAGGAGAGTGTCGCCATTGGACGCTTCTTCTGTCCCCTCCGATACTGGAACTGAAGAAGAGAACAACTATTTTTCATGACTGGCATCTCCAGAGAAATTCAACAGAAAAGCAGGTAATATATAACGGAGTAATTTACATATGAATCAGAAAATACCAACATACCTGGGGGCTGTTCACTATTGCCTTCAGGGCTGCTGCTGCCACCGCTGCTGCTGCTGCTGCTGCCGCCGCCGCCGCCACCGCCACCGCTGTTGCTGCCGCTATCGTTGTGTAGCTGCTCAGGGCCATCTTTGATTTGCTGAAGGCGGTTCGCCAACTCTTCCTCAGTAATCTCGCCTGATCGTAAAAACATATGTTGAGGGTTAAAATACTGATCATTTTCACAACAGACGTAAGGTTTCCATATATTCCATAACTGCCCATCAATCCGAGACCGCATATATGCTGGGCTGGCTGTCGAAAGACGGTTGCACTGGTTGCTGAGGCAAGTTGTCCACTTTATTCAACATCCCTCCGGATTAATTTTCATCATTCGACAACAAAGATGAAGCAATAAGAGAAGGAAATAATCCACAGAGAGAAAACTTCGTTTACAAATTTAAATATTTATATCACCACTGAAGAGTAAAACTGATGACATTATTACTAAAGACCAAAAAAAACTTGTAAAATGCTGCATATCCGACTTTTTGCCTGTTAATAATTGCTAAGACTGCTCATCAATTCTGAATGAAGTGCAAGCAAGACTTGCGTCATTATGGGAACAACAACAAAAAACAATTGGAATTAACAATAACCTTCCCTCTAGAATTGAGAGAGTTAGTACCATGCATATAAATTATTAGTGGGATTGATATAATTATTAAATGATGTCCAATTGTGGATTTGAATAGGTAAAATAAAGGCATCTGTTTAACATGTTTATTTCTGCATAACCAAACTCTATATGGTGGGACATAAAAGATTCTAGAGTTAATAAAAGTGGAAAAAATGAATTCTTGAAAAAAGTCTACTCAAACACTGCAATAAAAGCTTTTAAAAATCTCAAGCATAACTAGAATTTCCATAAGGAGATCCTTTGCACTGGGATGAACATTAGTGTTTTTCTCAGTATACAACACTAAATAACCCAACGTCTAAATACTTTGAGGAACGCATTGTACAACAGGGCCACTCATCTATTATCGAAGCACATGAACTCAGGAGGACTCATTTTTGGAGATGAGTTTACCTTTTTAATCATACTTAAACTGAAACCAATAATATGTTAATTACATTATTGCATATTTTCAGCACAGCAGGTTTTAAACATATTTCCTGCATATCCAACAACCAGATAATCACCAACATTTGACAGTTAAATTGCTTTTATTCAATTCCACAATGCAGTTAGATTGTATTCAAGCATGCCAGGACTGTTTCTGCTGTTTTGAGACCAATTTTATCAAAGTTTCTGTATCAAAAAGAGCAGGCTTACACTGTTTGGTCAAACACCGGGAAGCCAAAGAAAGTGCAATCACTTTATAAAGACAGTTAAATATTTGATAAACTTTAAATGAAACAGACTGATTGTCTGAAGCTTCAGCAAGCGGTTAAGTAGTGACACACCAGCTTAAGTTACTAAGGTTAGGGCTGGGCGATTAATCGAAAAGTAATCAAAACCGACATTCAGAACCTCTAACCAACGCAATCCTGCCCATGTCGGTTATTTAGATTTTTTTTAATTCTGTTAATCCTTTCCCCACTCTGTGTGTTCATGGACTGTCCCCTTAAAAACTTACTACCACGCGTGTATCACATGACTCCCACGTCCAGTCCGTGACATGGAAGCTAAGGCTACGTTCACACAGCAGGTAAAAGTGGCCCAAATCTGATTTTCTCACCAAATCGAATCTTTTAGTTTGGCTGTTCAGATTATCTTTTAAATGTGATCTGTATGGGTCATCAGTCTGAACAGATCAGCTCCTAAACTGACCCACATGCGCAAAAGAACAATGCTTCACAATCTTCCCAGTTCTTTGCTAATTCTTCACATAAGATGACTTCACTGATACTCGTGAACATTAGCAGGTTTGCCTACTGAAATTACATCCATGGCTGGTCACTGTGCTACACTGGCTACGTTCATACAGCAGGACTTTCTCACCAAATCCAACTGTTTTGTTTGGCTGTTCACAATATCTTTTAAATGTGATCTGCGACATCAGTCTGAACAGATCAGCTCCTAAACTGACCCACATGCACTAAAGAACAGATCATCACGCTGCTTCACGGCTCATCCAGAGGTGAACAATCACGACTGCTAACGAACACCAGTCGCTCCCGGAGGATCAGCTTCATCTTCACCAGCATCTCAGGAGCCATCATGAAGCTGCACTGACTGACAGCTGGGCTCATCACCCAGAATGTGTTCGAGCCGTAAAAAGGGCGCGGTCACTTCTTTGGTTCGGGTCCTCGGATTCTTTAAACTTTGCTTTCAGACTTTTAGCTGTTCTATACGCTGCAGCCTCGTTCTCCTGCGGCCGCGTTCGGACATTTCTTTCAAAATCTCTTCAAACACGGAGGGTTCTGGATGAGTGTCTTCTAATTTTTGTACAGAAATATCACTTCAAATGTTTATGAGTCTCAGCAGAGCGAAATCATGACGAATGTCGAGCTGGTTTGACGTAAAAGCCACGTGAATTCTGATCTGGCTGTTGAGACGACTTACATTAAGATATGCAGAGCATATTTACAGTACAGACCTTGCCAGTGAACTATGAGGGCAAAAAAACAAACAAACAAAATAATCATTCATTAATCGTAATCGAGGTAAAGCATTCGATTAATCGTGATATTGATTTGAGGTCATATCGCCCAGCACTAACTGAGGTATACAGATAGTCAACCCAGATATTTGTTGGAGAATTTCCATATGATTTATCAGTTTATAAGGACCAAATCCATGCAGCATATCCAAGTATCAAACTGCCCTTCACCTTGAGTGTTTAATTATCTGTGCCTGATTATTTTACCTGACCATCAACCTCTCAAAGCAAAGTCGAATATGCAGAATTTCACCTCTAAACATTGTCCCCCTGCTTAAAGCAGTGGGCTTAAACACAGTATTCTGTACTGTTTACCAGTTGCTCAGAAAAGCTTGTGAAACAGCAACAGGACAGTACTGAAAACCACCGCACTTACCAGGACAAGAACTGCCCATTCAATGCCATCTCCTGGCAGGGGTCTCGGCTAAAGGATGCTCCGAAATAACATTCCTTTCCACTGTCCCGGGACAGAAATGGATCGGGCGTCTTCAGGAGGTCCACAAAAGTGCTTGGTGGTTTTGTTTTAAGCACATAAACAACAATTCAAACCACAAAAGTAAAACACAGCTACACACAAGGTGAGAAGGGGTGGGGTGAAGGGACCCGGACCAGAAGTAACTGTGCATTGCTCTCAGTATTATAGACGAACTACACCATTCAAACCACTGTCCGTATCTCCTGTTCCTCTAGTAAGCGCTATAAAGAAAGGTCTACATCTTCTCAAGACCGTAAGTAATCAATGCGTACACACGAGTGCACAATTAGCCGAGCTGACAGCCAGTCAGCAACACGTGTTTATTTCTGCATCATCAAATTCTATATGGTGGGACGTAAAAGCATATAAGAGCATTCAATGCAGAGTTGAAGTTCTCCGACCCACAAAGTATTCAAGGTCACATCATAAGTGAAAAAGAAAACCGACAGTACTGAAAGCAGTGAGCTTTTATCATTTGTCTCATGCCCCTGTAATGACGAAACAAATCTCCTACCAAGATAAAGTAACTCGTCAAATTAATACAGCAAATACTAAAAAAACAGCTTTGTTACCTGGGGTGCCAAGCAGATTGTTGTCTCTCATCAATCTGTAGTCTTCCTCACTCAGATTGTTAACAAACTGGTAAAAAGCCTCCTCTCGGTCCAGGCGGTCCCGCTGCTGCCTGCGTTGAGAGTCGGACTGTTCGCTGCCCCCTTGTTCTGCATTGTCTGAGCTCTCCATGGCTGTTAAAGCCAAAATGACTGTCAGCACCACCTGGACACAAGGGACCGAAAATTCACATCACAGAGATGCTCGTCAATAGAAGAACAAAAGGCAATTCTTAAGTGGATCATTCTCATTAAGCAGCCTTAAATAAGTGTCAATCATCATGTAGATAAACAATATATATTCATATATTTAGCAGGTCGGCTGGACCTCTTTATGATGCAGCAAAAAGGTAATTATTTTTCTACTTTAAAGCATTTTCTACCTTGATTCTCGTTACCATAATGCATCTTTATTTAAATTAACTGTTCAGGGACAAGTAAAAAAAAGAAAACCTGAACTGCTGTTAATGTGTTATGATGATAAAATTGCTGAATACTATATTATGTAAAATATATCATTGTTGTCAGAAGAAAACCTCGTATCTCCATTTTTGCTGCTTTTCAGTTCTTGACATAATCTGAAAGTGCCCGTTGGCCTTTATGCTGTGTGTAAATTTCATGATGAATGGACTAAAAGAAATGACCAAAATATACTTCGAAAAAAGTCTGGTTCCATTGACTTACATTAAAAGTAAAGTGGGTTATTTCCTCTTCCTGTAAAGTTACCAATTTGGAGATACGAGGTTTTGTTCCGACAACAGCGATATATTTTACATAATACAGTATTCAGCAAATTTATTATCACAATAATATATATATATATATATATATATATATATATATATATATATATATATATATAAATAAATAATCTTGAATAATTAGCTTTAAGATACTTAGCTAGACAACAGTAGACACTATGAAATTTACAGATACATTAGTTACAAACTTAATAAATCATTTAAACTTTTAGCTTCTCAACCAGACATCTCTAACATGCATAACCAGAGTTCTGGTCATTTAAATTTGTTCAAGTTAGCCTCCAGGGTTCGTCATGTTCATGAGGACAACCCAACCAGCTAAAAGAAACGTAAAATATCGAAATTCCCACACATTATTAAGGGAATAGAGGGCAGTGGTCACTATACTTGGGCTGTACGAACACATCGCGGTTACCATCGAACTGCTTTAAGAAGGTTAAAGCCTTTTTGTAAAGGTTTAAAAGACACTACAACGAGAAATGGACACTAACCTATGAACTGCGGAGCGAAAACAAAATGGCATCGCGGAAAAACGGCAAACAGCAGCAACACCGCGCGGTTACTTTTAAAAGCTCGACTCGTTATAAAAGGTTTAAGTGTGTTTTAACAGCTTGGATCAAAAAATGGACACTAATAGAGAGACACTACGCCAGCAAGAGTGAAAACAAAATGGCATCAAGAAAGAAGGCCGACACACAAGCCTGGCTAGCGCAGTGACGCTAACGGTTAGCTTAGCAAGCTGACCGGAGGGGAAGACCAGCGACGCCGTCCAGGGCAGTTGATCCAATTAGTTAGCTAAGCAGCTAATAAGCGTAAACAACGTGTTCCTATATTAACCAACGTCATGTAAACTAAGAGAGCTGCTTTTACAGCGGCAGTCAAGCTAGGTTAGCACTTTCACAATCGCCTGCTAACCTTGGTTAAAGCACAGATCACTGTTGTTGTCAACAGCAGCTGCAACTGCTAGCGACACCTTTTATAGCCGTCTAACTTCAGACAGGCCGGGTACTCCATTAACGCCGGATTTAGTAACTTACAGCAGTTTAACGCTGACAAAGACCGACCGAAACTACACGGAATCGACGGCAAAGTAACCGCAATTACAGCCGTATCACTCACGGCGTTAGGGGTCGAGCTAACGGCGCTGCGCTACTTCGAGCTACTTCTCAAGCCAAAAGAGCAGCTGAGCGTTTTTAGAAGAGGAAATCTGGGAGACTGGTTGGCCAAACCGCCCCTAACTGGCTGGGAAACCAGGGTTAGCTCACATTACCGACTTAACGGCCTTCTGAACTCACGAACATTCAGCCGATCGCCACGTTAGCGAGCGAGCTAACAACAAAACAACGGTAAAGGTGAACCGAGCCGCATATTTAGCACGTTAGCTTCCGTTCCTGCACAGCTACCTTTCAAACGGACCACTGACATCACAACCAAACCGACCTTTTACGATCCGCTGATTTTCTCCACCGGTCGCCGATCTGTTCTCCGTAGTCACGGCCGTCTGTGTTCAACTTTAAATCAGTCTTTTTAATCCAAGTGTTTGGAGTCCGTGTCCGTTTGCTCCAGCATCGGTTTGTCAGACCGTCCGTAATCGACCGTCTCGATTCCGGTGTACCGGAGTTCAGGGAATACATGAGGCAAGACAAAAGTCGCGGGGAGGCGACTTTTATTTTATTTTTGTTAAATACAGGGCGTCCCAAAAAAAAATGACATAATCTTGTGGTCTAATAACACAGCCAGTTCTCTCTCAGATGATCTCAAATTTGAGCAAAATGTATAAAAACTGACGAAGTTTAATTTTGAATTTTTTTTTCAGGTTGAAGAATGGCATTCACTAGAAATGAAAAGGCATTTTGTTTTTGTGTGTTAGAATATGCTCGAACACAGTGGCATTTTCGAGAAAATTCAATAAAAATGCACCAACTGGAAAGCAGAATTTGGACATGGTGCAAAAAATTCAAAGAGGAAGGCTGTCTGTGCAGGACAAAGGGGTCTGGACCACCACCAGTATCGGAAGATCAGCTTTGTGAAATTGGTTATAAAATCTACATTCCTCTGAATTTCTTGTTCGAATTTTGATAAATAAATCTTGTACTGTTCAACATGAAAGCCTATTTAATTTCATTTGCCCAGTTGGTCAGATATTCACGTCTCAAATTATGTCAATTTTTTGGGACACCCTGTACTTATGTTATTTATGGTTAAATGCAAACTGAGATCATTTACATGCTCTACATGAGAAAAGGTCTGATTTTGATATTTGTCTGAAGACAACAAACATCCAATTTACATAATATGTTTAAATAGAAGAGTGTAGATAGATAGATAAATACTTTAGTGATCCCGAAGGATATTTAGCAGCCTGTAGCCGTCACACAACACAGGACAGTATTAGTAATAAAGGTGAAACAATATAAAAAGAAGAATAAATACAAAACAAAAAACTATCTACAGGCATATATACAAATAGAAATATACCAAAAATCTGCAATAAGATCTATAACATAAGATGAAAAAGGCAGTGCAATAACAGCATATAATGACAAGTGTGTAAATTTCATGATGAATGGACCAAAAGAAACGGCCCAAATTTACTTCAAAAAACCTCTGGTTCCATTGACTTACATTAAAAGTAAAGTACATTTTTTCCCTCTCCTGTAAAGTTACCATTTTGGAGATACAAGGTTTTGTTCTGACAGCAGCGATATACTGGTACTGAACTGGTATGTTTAGCGATTCTGGTTTCAAGCTTTTATATCTGAACTGTCATTAAGATGAATAAATAATGACCGTCTGGATGCACAACAGGCAGTAAAGACCACTGAGCCAATGACCAGACTGACTAATATAATAATTCCCCTTACAAGACTTATTAATAAATATGCATTATACATAGATTTTGATAGATAATAATCATATTTATTTAGAATTTGCTGTTAAATTTGGCTGGTCATGCTTTGTTTAGGTGTGGTGTAGTGTGCTTTGTCATTTACATACAGCTATGTTGTTAATATTAATAATTTTAGATATGTAGGTGTATGACTTTCTGTTTTATTGATCCTTTTAAATTGGTAAATTAGTGTGTGAAATCAGTCTTTGACTGTGAAGCACTAATAATAATAATAATAAAACTACTACTAAGCTTGATATGACTGAAATGTCATTGACGTCTACAGCACCCCACCTCCAACCCAAAATAAGATTCCCTGAACATCTGGAGGAGGGAGGAAACAGATGATTCAGAGATTAAAGTAAATAATATCTTTTAATGTCAGGTGTAAATGAGCTCTTAGCGCTGGCCTCTATGCTTCCAAACACACTCGGCGTAAAATACGGTTGGTGACATTTTGAAATCCTGAAGGTTAAAATGACCCAGCAAAAGGTTAGAATTTGTATTTGTTAATAAACATTAATTCATTAGTCTGAATGTAATGCTAACATGGAGAGGACGACTTTTAATTTGTATTTTTTTTTAGCCTCCCTAAGCTCGCTGTGTCCTCCTGGCTTGGAGCACAATTTAACAAATTATTTAATACATTTTAATACAGTTTAAATTCTTAACAGGAAAATGTCACTGTAGGTTATTTTTTGGTTTATTTTACGCCAGATTTATGTGGGGCTCCTCAGAACGAATAAGTGTTTGCTGGCTTAAAGTTTATATTGAATTAGAAAAAAACACTGTAGATGCAGTTTGAGCTTTTTGCACTTTTATTTTGAAATGCTAAGATGTTGCAACGGGAAGTCGGTTTGCGTCTTCAATGTTTACCAATCCTTTATTAATAATAGTTCTTTAAGGCCTCAGAGCAACTAAATACCCGCACATAGATACTGACTCATGTCTTAATTATCAGAAATGCTGTTTTAATCTTTCTGTTTGGGCTCCTGGCTGTTGCTGAGGCCGCTTAGCTAACCTAGCCGAGTAGCCAGGTGGGACTGATCTGCCTCTTTCAGAGGAACAGGAGAAAAAAGCTGCTCATAAAAACAGAAAACGATGCTGTGTCACCAGCAAAAATCATAAAGTGTCTTATAAAATTATTCATTTGATAATTATCCTGTTAAAAATCACCGCCACCGTTAAAAGTCCTTGTTTATATTGTTAATTTCTCACTATTCCCATGTATAATACAAATCAGTACTTCATGTGCAATTGTGGTAAAATATTATTACAGTATAAATGTTTTTTGCTTTTTTATTTATAATTGTTTATATTGTAAATTTTTGTGATAGAGTTTACCTTCAGTATTATATATATATATATATATATATATATATATATATAGTTTATATAGTAACAAACTAAATAATTAACAAGGTTAATTACTCTGTGAATTTTCTTCTTGTTTCTTTTCTGAGTGCTCTGCTCTCCCTTTGCTGCTGTAGCTCTGTGAATTTCCCCCTTGTGGGACTAATAAACGATTATCTTATCTTATGCCTTAGTTTAGCATGTAAGGTAGTGTAGTGTGTGGTTTGGATGCAGTTATACACTGTAAAACATAATAATGACACAAACTTAATTTTTTGGGTTTACTTATTTATTAAAATCACTAAATAAATCTAGTAACACTTATTATTTTTTGTCTAATCCTTAGTTACTTTGGTAAGTCTTTTGCCCAAAATGCTTCCCAGTATTCTTAGCGGTTTTGTTGTTGTGTGTTAATTAACTGTTATTTTTCTCAAGTATAATTCTCTTTGGATTTTTTTTTGTTTGTTTAATATGTCGTAGGCTATTATATATTTTACGTACTTTTGTTATTCTCACGATGATGGTGCTTTGTGTTTGGCCTTTTCCCATCAATGTTGCCAGAAAAGTAAATTTGTGTTTAGCTGTGAGTCCTCAGAAATGGGTGATTATACTTTTCTTTAAGCCATTTATTTGTTACCGTATGAAAAAATGTGTTTATTAAAATAGTTGTTTTAATTCCTGCAAATACGTTACATGAGGAAGAGTATTTGATTCAAGTTAAACAGTTCAAGAGTAAGTAGAAGTGAAAAAAGTAGAGTTTAGCTCAGTGGACACTGTTTAAAGTGATTGGGCTGTTTGAGTTAATCTTACTTGCTGCAGGACTGTGGATCACTGATTATTAGAAATTAGGATATAAATATATAAATTTGTATATAAATTTATTTAAGCTTGAACCAGTTATGGCACATCTTGTCATCTAGATGGCTTCACTGTTATGTAGTGTGTATGTCTATTTCTGGTTTCTGGTCTCCAGTTGTTTTGTTAAAAATTAAAGAATTAATCATTACTACATCTGCTGTAAACATGCCTACTCACCTCCCACAGCAGTGCCACAGTGGCCTCTAGAGCTAGAATTTCCAGTATAAAGGCTAGAAAAACATCCTCCTAATGGTCTTGAAGGTGGGAGGAGCCTTAAAAAACGTAATGGACTGTTTTTTTTGTTTGTTTGTTTTTTTTACAAACAGGCTAATGTTACTGCTACGTTGCCAAATATCATGCTTATAAGTTTATCAGGATTCTGTGTGGCTGTTGGGGGGGGGGTCCAACAGTTGTGTGAGGTATTTTTGTCATGTATGGTGTAGTGATGGACACAAACACCAAAAGGACACAAAATAGTGACTTCTGTAAAACTAATGATGCTGAGGGCTGCAGAATATTACATAACAACAAGCAATGTACCAAATGCCAGGTTTAGGCTGGAGTGACCCATACGGATCGTTCACAGGGGTTCTGAGTGCTGAGTCCTATTATAGAAATAACTGAAATGTTATTTTTTTAAGCCTGCCCAATTTCATTTTATTTGTCAACCTTTAACCTTTTCAACTCCTTGAGACCACTGGTGTTTCCAAAACGCACTTTGTCATATTCTTCATAACTTTCATATTTCATAAGCTACATTCTAAAGGTGGGGGTCGTATGAGGCTGTAACTGTCTTCTTTCCGGTCAAATAGATGGGTGGTGTAATTTTAAACCCTTATAATAAAAGAAGCTGAACTCATAATTTTTTTTTCTACTGAAAGTCGACCCATTTTTCCACAAATCTGGGCTATAAACTATAAACAGATGGCGTCTCTTCAGTGATCTGCTCTGTAAAAATTATTTTTATAAAATAATACAAAGAGCGTCTAAGATTTCTGGCTTTCAGCAGTAAATTGTAAGCATATAGCAATATGTGTATGATCATAAAAACACATTTCCTGTTAATTTGAGGGGAGCTTTTAAAATAAATAAAATAAAATTTACATTTATTTTATGCAGTTACTGAATAATTTGCTTTATGATTTGGTCATGTAAATTCAGATAGACAAACCAAAATGTACCCTGGAGAATAAGAGGTTAAAGGAAAAACGGTTAGCTGATTAACACACTGTGAAATAAAGATTTTGTACAGGAACATTTTTCGTTCATCAAGGTACAAACAATGTAAATGTTCCCTCAAAGGTACAACAGTGGTTTTAAGGTCTGATTGTGAACCTTAAATAAGTTTTTCCAGGTAAAAAGTTCGTATTTGTACCTTTTCATAACCAAATGTTTTAAACAGAACAGTAAAATAAAAGCCTGGAGACGAGACGGGGTGTGTGGAGTCAGTACAGCTTAGAACATATCATTTCAGTGGATTATGGTTCAGTTATGTTCCCTGACTGAAGGTACTGAGATGGACCCTTGAGGTGACAGGAGGGGCACTGACCCAGAGACAGTTTAGTATCTTTATTTCTGAGAGTGTACTGAATAATGACTGATGATAATAGGGATAAAGCCTGCACAATACTAATGATGAACTATATTCAACATCTCATTTGCTTCAACAGTTGTTGCCATAAATTAATTCAACAGGCTTTGAAGGGGTGGAAACGTCTGGAGGAGACCAATCAGTAAGGCTGTAAATAAGGACAGTTTAAAGTGGCGTACAGTGCACCCACATAACAAATGTTCAATAGGCTTATCATTAAGATCAGCACATAAGATGAAGTGATCCAGCAATAAGATTCGGGCAGGTACAGAACAAAACGGACAATTTCCAAAAACAGCATTCAAAATCTCATTTTAATTTGTATATTTACTCCATAAACATTATTACAAAACTCAGCAAGTTACCAATATTACATTATCACCATACAGGCGGGTTCACAAATATTTAAAACCTTTGCAACAGTTACAACATAAACAAAATAATACTAGAATAATTTACATGAAAAATCTATAAAACAGCAAGTAGTTCACAAATTTTATTTTTTTTCTTCATTTTTCTTTCTTTGCCTATTTGTGTTTTCCACAATAACACAATACTCCCACAACAAGGTCAATTTCCTCGTACAAAACTCCCAACAAAAATGTAGATTTTTTTTTGTTTGCTTGTTACTTAATATTTTGGTTTTTAAAACCAGAAACTTTTTCGTTATACATCCTTTTCACTGCCTACAGAGGCGCAAAAAAGGTTACTCACACACACTAATACTTCACAGCACTTTCTAAGAAAAATATACACTTACAAAATATGTTACAAATTGGCACAGAGAAAAATATACAGTATTTTTGTCATGTCAAGAGTTCGTTAAGAATCCCTCTGGTATCAACTCTAGACAATATTTATAAAGCTCAATACTCTTTTCAACAAAAAGGCAAAAAGGAATCCCAATTAATGTCAAATAATTATGGTGTGAATACATCAAACATAACCATATATTATACATTCATAAAGAGAGGATTAGGGTTCTGTCTTTCTATATTTTCTCTTTTTTTTTCCTTTTTTTTCTTTTTTGTCATATCTGGGAAGAAAAAAAAAGGTTTGCTTTCTTAGCACCAGTAAGAGGAGGCAGCTCAACAGTGGCACACTGTACAAATCTTGAAGAAGTACATTCAATTGAAAATAGGCAGAAACAAGAAGGCAGGCAAGCGGGCGCCACGGCCCGTGTGCAGTTTTCCCCTCACCAGCATGTCCTGGTCCTTAACATGGCAAGCTAGACAGAACAGACAGAGGCAGAAGGATACAGAGCAGAACTATGTTATGGTAACATTTCGGAGTAAGGAACGAACGTACATCCCTATCAAGCCGGCATCGGCCCACAGTTCCCACATGGTGCATCCCTATATTTTAAACAGCCCATATCACGGAAAACCAAAATTTTCTTGCTTTTTTTGGAATAAAAGTTTGATGTAGTATGTAAACATTGTTAAAGTATCAAAACGTACAATTCACTCTGCATACAGTCCGTACAGTCCATATCGCTGCTGTCGGAACAAAACCTCGTATCTCCAACATGGTAACTTTACAGGAGAAGGAAAAAACCCACTTTACTTTTAATGTAAGTCAATGGAACCAGAATTTTTCCCAAGTCATTTTGGGTCATTTCTTTTAGTCCATTCATCATGAAATTTACATACAATGTTAAGGGCAACAGGTATTTTCAATTTATGTCAAAAACTGAAAAACAACAAAAGTGGAGATACGAGGTTCTTCCGACAGCAGCGAAATAGAAACTAAGCTGCATTTTGACTTCATTGTTTTTTTGTTTATCGTTGCTGTCGGAACAAAACCTCGTATCTCCAAAAACCTTCTTAATTTATAACAGAAGTTGATGTAAAACGAATTTTTTCCAAGGGATTTTGGACCTTTTCTGTTGGTTCATTCATATGGACATTTTAACACAATGTAAAGGCAGCATGTGTCTTCAAATGATGTAAAAACATGAAAAACAAAAACAGAGATACTAAGTTGTGTTCCAACAGCGACGATACATTCACCTATTCAGCCTACAGTGGTTTAGCCCCGTCCATTTACACTGAAATTAAAAGCTGTGTTTCAGCCTAGACTGCTTTTTAAATCACTGCTGTCAGAAAAAAAACTCATATCTCCATTTTTGTCGTTTTTCAGTTTTTGACATAATTTGAAAATGCCTGTTACTCTTTACATTGTGTGTAAATTTCATGATGAATAGACCAAAAGAAACAGCTCATAATTACTTGGAAAAAAGTCTGGTTCCATTGACTTACATTAAAAGTAAAGTATGTTTTTCCTTTTTTTCTGTAAAGTTGTCATTTTGGAGATATGAGGTTTTCTTCTGACAGCAGTGAAATAATGCACAATACAGCCAATCATTTCCACATCTGACATCATTTACAGACAGAATTCTTAAGGACGCAGCACCAAAAACAGCCCGTTTAATTCTAAATAATAAAGAGAGGTCATGCAAAAATGAATGTTCGCTGGTTTTGGTACATAAAAACATACAAACGTCATAACTGGACCTCAGGGAATAAAATACAGTAGAAGAAATATGTAATATATGGGCCCTTCATATCAGGCAATTATTAGCATATTAAGGAACGCTAATGCTAATGTGCAAATACGCTTGGGTAGCCAATAAGGAAGAGAAGCAAACTACCAAATGTAGCCTCTTTCACGTCTTGATAGTCAGACGTTTGCATGTTTTATAGTTTTTGCTCTCTTTAAACATTTTGGAGATAAACAGCAACCACAGCTCAATCAGTCTACCTGGTAATTTATAGGCCCATTATACAGCGATCACCTCCTTGTTTCTACACTCATTGTCCATTTTATCAGCTCCACTTACTATATAGGTGCACTTTGTAGTTCTACAGTTACAGACTGTAGTCCATCTGTTTCTCTGATACTTTGTTAGCCCCCTTTTACCCTGTTCTTCAGTGGTCAGGACCCCCATGGACCCTCACAGAGCAGATACTATTTGGGTGGTGGATCATTCTCAGCACTGCAGTAACACTGACGTGGTGGTGGTGTGTTAGTGTGTGTTGTGCTGGTACGAGTGGATCAGACACAGCAGGGCTGCTGGAGTTTTTAAACACTGTGTCCACTCACTGTCCACTCTATTAGACACTCCTACCTTGTCAGTCCACCTTGTAGATGTAAAGTCAGAGACGACAGCTCATCTGCTGCTGCACAGTTTGTCTTGGTCATCCTCTAGTTCTTCATCAGTGGTCACAGGACGCTGCCCACAGGACGCTGTTGGCTGGATATTTTTGGTTGGTGGACTGTTCTCAGTCCAGCAGTGACACTGAGGTGTTTAAAAACTCCAGCAGCACTGCTGTGTCTGATCCACTCAGACCAGCACAACACACACTAACACACCACCACCACATCAGTGTTACTGCAGTGCTGAGAATGATCCACCACCCAAACAGTACCTGCTCTGTGAGGGTCCATGGGGGTCCTGACCACTGAAGAACAGGGTAAAAGGGGGCTAACAAAGTATCAGAGAAACAGATGGACTACAGTCTGTAACTGTAGAACTACAAAGTGCACCTACATAGTAAGTGGAGCTGATAAAATGGACAATGAGCGTAGAAACAAGGAGGTGGTCATGATGTTATGCCTGATCGGTGTATTATTATGCAACATCAGGACACTGCAGATGTGTTTATGACATACTGATGCTCAAAATCACAAAGTGTTTATGACGTTTTTTTTGCCAGTAACAAGTTTGTTGCTTTGTTTTTATGTTACTTGATTAACCTGACAGACATTCCCACAAACATGCCAACGACAGTGCTTACCATCCGACGTCAGATAGACGGTGTTCTCTATGCAGAATGAACATTGTCCATATCTTCTTCTGTGCTTTTCATTAAGAAGCGTCTCCACTTGTTTGTCTTTTTTTAATCTCAAAGCCAAGTTATGCTGAGGTAAACTGAATTTGGCAAGGAGGTGGAAAAAGGAGGAAAGTTCAGGGTGAGTGTTGTTTTGGTTAAGTGAGTGGTTTTGTACCACTGTCAGCTGCAGGGTGCTCTTCACAATATAGGTTCCCAAAAGAAAAGGGGGGAAAAAATCTGGAATGTCAATTCTCACGAGAGTCTCAACAGAGAATGGCCATACTTCATACGGATAGAAAACGGAACAGCCAGTATGCAGTATTGATAATAAATTTGCACAGAGTTTACATTTGGCACGCTGATTTTTAGAGTTGATGTTTTCATTAAATAGTGCATTTCTATACAGGGACACTGGCAGAAAAAGAAAATAAAGTGAAGCATTTTGGAATTTCCATGGCTTAGAACTGTCCCTCTAAGATAAGTTCCAGTAAAACTCCTGTAAAAGCATAGTAAAAGCATAGGAAGAAAATTATAACTTCATTCCATCAGTAAGAAAAAAAAAAAAGAACAAAACGTTAATCTGATATGTCTTCAATACAAAATGGTCCCATTATGTGCTATTGATGTCTTGGGGCCTACAAAGGATGCTGATTATCCTCGATAGGAGGCTGAGCATTTCCCACCTAAAAAAAGTCAGGCAATATGAGGGAGACAGCCAGGAGAGGTCGTCCTGTTCTGCATACAAAAACTAATGGGGGAGCGTACTTTTCACAAGCATTTTTACCCAAATAGCTACATGTTTCCAACGAGGAATATAATTACATAAATTTAGGGCAGCAAAATTTCACTGTTAAAAAATAAGAATTGGAAAAAAAAAACATCTCCCAAAAAAACACATATTTATCAAGGCTTTTTTTCTCTTCAGACAAAAAGAACCAAAACAGCTACAAGGAAAAACAGCAAAAGCAAGAAGAAAATGCAGCCATGGTAGTTTAAAATCTCAATCAAGCCTTACACAATCACTCAATAGGTAGTTTGCAAGTACAAGAAGTTTCTCATGCAAGATATCTATATCTTCTTCAGGGGGCAAAAAATAAGGGGGGTGGGTTAAGGGTAACGTAATTTCCATGCATCTCCGGCATTGAGTCAGTGCAGGTATGTCAGGGACTAAGGGCTGAGCAGGAAGTGGGGGGGAAAGTGAGGAACGTGCATCAGCAGCTAGTTACAAAATATTACCTCAGTTTTTCAAAAGAGGTCATCAGTGCTATGTCCTTATTTGGGTCTCGCTCAGCCCGCTTGCCCTTAATGTTTTCGATCCGAGGGAATTTCGCACTGGTTTTGTGACGGTACATCTTTTTGTGCGCGGGCCCGTTTATGCCAGGGACGCCGAGGTTAGGCTTGTCGAACATGTTACAACCCAGAGCCAACTGGGGGAAAAAGGGATGAGAGGCATTGAACTTGGCCTGATTTTTGCCACCTTTACCCCCTGCTTTCCTGCCTTTTGCACCCCCGGCAGAGGCAGCACCTTTCTTCTTGGGGTCAGACGAGGTCCCTGCCAGTATTTTGAGAGTCTTTAACTTCAGGCTGTTTGCCTCTGAGGGTAAACAGATGTTTGCTGCAGGCCCCCATATCGGCTCGATAGACGCCATCATGAAGCGCTGCACCTCGGCCATCCCTGATACTATGTTAGAAAGGATGTTTGATGGCTCTTCGAACTCTCTTTGCTCGTCATCTTTACCGCTGCCCTCTGGCCAGCCCATTCCTGGCCAGTCCTCAGAGCCGCTATCTGTCAGCTGGTGTGCTGAACCCTTGGACCCCTCTAGCTGGCCATTACCACCCTTTTCATCCAATAAGGCTTTTAGCTTTTTGGACGCTCGTGAATTCTGTCGTGGGGTCTTAGCTTTTTCCCCCTTTGGAGCTCTCGGTGCTTTGATTTTTTTAGTGCCTTGTCCTGCGGTTTGCTTGCTGCTGTTTTTCCTCTTTGTCTTTGCACCTTTCACCTCGCTGTTTATATCGGCAACCTGCACATCGAAGCCAGCTTGATTTGCTTCCTTCTTTTCCAAGCTTAAGTGGTCATCGTCATTAAAGCTGTACAACTGATACTGGTGACTATCTAGTGCGAACCCAGGCAGATGGTCTTGCTGCTCTATCATGTTGCAGTTCCATTTCATTTCTTGATTGCCCTCCAGTGTCATCTCGGACCCATTGTGGAGATCCTTGGCCTTTCCTGCTATCTTCATCTCTCGGCCTATGACCTGGGGGGATAAATTCGGCGTCTCAGGGGGCGAGAGCTCCGACAGTGATGTGTGTCTGAATTTATCTGGTGTGAAGTTGGAGATATCCAGCAAGTCTGTGGATTCCCTCAGGGGTGTGATTGCATCAATACTCTGCTGAATCACCAGTTTGGGACTGCAGTGGGCCAGAAAGTTCTCGTTCACATCATCCTCGCCATCCTTCTCGCAGGACTTGAGACTCAGAGAGCTGTAATTGCTGGAAGTAGCTGACAGCGAGCCAACTGAGTCGAAACTGATGAGCCTGCCGTTGTCAGTGTGCAGTGTGCCTCTTTGAAATTGTAGCTGGCCTTCCACGCAGGGAACCTGACATGCTTGAAATTCCGCATCAGGCGGCAGCGCCTGCTCAGGCATGTAATTTTTTTCATAAAGCATTCTGTTGCTTTCCAACCCCAGCTGGCTGTACCCAGGCACTGGCAAGTTCTCTGACATTGGCATGGGAATGGCACTGGAGAAGTTGCTGGGCAAGATGGCCGTCTCAGGGATATCAGTAGCAAACTGCTGGTTCGGGCCAAGCTGGGAGTGCCACATCTGGGTAAGGCTGGGACAATTCTGGGGCGACTGCTGGAGCTCTGATTCAGAGGGCGGGGAGAGTACGCAGCTTTGGGCCAGCTGAAGAGAAGCAAATTGTTGCTCTTCCAAAGAGAGACCCAGCGAGTGTTGCCTGGGGGTCTGCTGAGGGAAAAAAGAGACACCAGAGCCACCCGAGGAATCCGAAGCATCTAACAATGTCTGTAAGTAGCCCCCGGGGATAACGGGTACACCTGTAGCCACATCCTCAGATGACGTAGCATTGTTAGGGGAGCAGGTGGCAGACATGAAAGCAAATTTTTCAGTGGCATCGGCTGTTTGACTCTCACACAACTGGGGACTGTGTGCAGCTGAGTTGATCTCTGTTTCTTTCCCACTCCCTACTGCGTCCTTATTTTCTAGCACAGCGCAAGCATCAGTCAGGTTTGTCACGCTTTCACTGCTCTCCTCAAGGTCCCTCATTTTCTTGCTTCTTAGCCTGGCTTCGCTTTTGAATTTACGCATTCTGACCGTTTTATTTGCCATTCTGCTCTCCTCCATCTCTTGTGTTCTGCTCTTTCGGGTAGTAGTGCGTATGATGTCATTTGGGTCTAATGCGCTTGCACAGCTGGGGGCTGCTATTGTCGGTGGCCTTGCCTCCTCTTTAGAAGCGACTTCCTCCCTAGGATCAGAGGGAGAGGCGCCCTGCTTGTGGTTTGATTGCTCCACAGTTTGAATCCTCTGAATCCTAAGTCTGTTTGCTAGCTTGTATTTCCTTTTGGGAGGACTGGAACTAAAGGGTCGATGGCGGCCATTAAGATGGAAATTGTGTTTATCTCCTGCAGCCAGCCTAAGCTGTTCCTCTTGCTCCCTCTGTTTCTCCTGCCAGAAATCTTTCAGAGGAGCCAGCTTTTCATATTCGCCGATCGTGTCCTTGTTTAAGCTTATAGTCGTGACTGCTGGATCAATTTTGCTGAGCTTCACACACATATGTTTTTCTCCTTTGAACCTGTTTATGATAATGTATTTGATTATCACGGGTGGCTCCTTGCGGGAAGATTTTCTTCTCTTTTTAGGACACCAGTCGTCATCCTGTTCTTCTTTCGGATCGGAAGGTGGTTTTTCGCGCTTTTCGTTGTTTTTTTCACTTTCGATGGAGTCAACATCATAAAGGTAGTCATCGCTGAACCTGGCTTTCCTCTTTGCTCGTAGTCCATAGTTTAGAGGGTTGGAGGAGCATCCATTCTTTCGAGAAAATGAGTTTTTATGTTTGCCCACATGGAAAGTGTCAATGGAGGAGCCAGTGCTTGAGCTGTCATCACTATACTCCCCTGAGTCTTCAGCCGAGTTGCCGGAATCAATGAAGTAGTTCATTTTTGGACTATAATCAAGTGTCCTATCTAAGGAACCGTCTCCTTTGCTTTCGTTTTCCAGTCCGAGTTCTTCGGGCTTCGGTAAGCTTCCATCCACACTTCTCTTAACCACACTATCTTTTTTCGTGCAGTTCACCACCACACTGGGGAAAAAGTTGAACTGTGTTTCCTCCTGAAGGACGTTGGTCTTTTCTCTCATGTTGTCCTGGAAGGACTCGTAGCGGATCTTCAGGGAGCACACGTCACTGCTCAGCGTAGAATCATCGTCATCATCAAACATATAGTTGTCTACATCCTCCTCCGAGAAGAGGTTCACTGAGAGCTCATTTTTTGAACAGAGGTCCAGCAGCTCCATTTTACTCTCACTGATGAAGGACTCAAAGTAACCCCAGTCCTGGTTGGAATTGGTGAGCAGGCCTTCCTCCCCATTGCACTTGTCCAGCAGCAGGCCCTCATACAAGTTCTTAGCTGTCTGATCTGGGTCGTTTTCTGTTTTTTCTGTGTCCTTTTTCTCCCCCAAATGGGACTTGGGTAGGGGAAAGCTCAAAAGCTGGTCAGACAGGAGCTGATCCCCATAATTGCCTGTCTCGCTGGTGCTCATGCACTGCATGCTAATGTCAGAGATGGAGCAAGCATCATACTCCCGGTTTATGTCAGCCATTTTGAGGCTGATACTGGGCTCGGCATCTGAAGCATCCTTGGTCTCAATGATGCAGCCCAGGCAGGTGCGGCTCTGCAGGCAGTCCTCAGTCAGTCCAGAGACACCCAGCGGCTCCATCATGGCGAAGGGAGGCTTGTTGCTGTCCTCTGGCACGGACCAGGAGCTTATACTCTTGGTAACGCAGGATGTGAGGGATATGGCGTGGCTGGAGGACTCATCAGTGGGCTGCTCAGGGGCTTCTTTGAGAGTCTGTGGCGAGGGTGGGCTCGGGAGGCGATACTCCCTTAACGCCAAAGCCACTCTATGGCAGTCTGAACCCCCTCTTTGTGCACTGCACAACTTTAGATTACCTCTCAGCTCACTTAGCCCTAGAGAAAGAAAAACAAAACAAAGCATCAGCACTGTGTGGCAACATATTTAGAAATAATACATAGCAATTTATTGTTGAGTGTTTTTAACCCCCCCCAACCCTCAAAGTAAATATCAACAATTAACTCAATGTCATCAGCAGAAGATATTCATATGTGTAGCAGAGGTGGGAAGCTAGTTTACACAAAGAGGCAGGTTTGTTTGCTTTGAATAATAAGTCTACGGCAGCTGAGGAAGGTAGCGAGCATCCACAAGGGAGAAGACATACCCATATGTTGAAAACAATATAACCGATACCACGTCCACCTGCCTCCCTCATTATCTGCAAGCTGTTGAATCAAACCGATACGAACAACAGCAACACACAAAACTTTACAGAATGTAACAGAAAGTGAACATTACACTGTAAAACACAAGAACTGATGACTGGAGGCTGATTTTAAGAGAATGCATATACATTTAACACCATTCTAATACTTCAAATACATGCTGTGATAGTCTAGATGAGTTAATATTCCTTTCTGTTGTATTCGCTGGTCAGTTCCTCTCCTTTCTTAGGCAGTGAGATGCTTTGTGCAGCCTGAGTTCTCAACTAGCAAACACCTCCAGTACTGTGAAAAAGTCGGGACAACTCTTCATTTGTTTGGTTTCCAGTCAAAGTGGCAATTAAATACAAGTTATTAATGTTTCAGGCGATATTTCTTAGAAAAGGGAAAGTCAAAGGAAAATATGTATAAAAAAGTTTCTAAAGCTGGAATTCAAAAATTGATTAGATAGATAGATAGATAGATAGATAGATAGATAGATTGCAGTAAAAAAATGGTTAAATGATCTACAGAAAATGGGAACCTTGAACAATGATGCAACATCTTGTAGATACCCAAAAAAACATTCATCTTTGAGAGAGAGGAGAAAATCAAGCTGCTTCAGATCTGAAAACATCCACAGGTGTTTCTGTCCATCCTTCCACTGTGAGAAGACCACTCAGCACTATGGGTCTGAAAGGATGTGTCACTATGGGTCTGAAAGGATGTGTAGAAGAACCTCACTGAGAAAAGGAAAGAAGAAAATATTCTAATCAAAGAAGATGGTGGTGATCTGTGAACAATGGACTGGCCACCCCAGAGTCAAGACCTCAATATCACTGAATGTGTTTGTGATTACTTAAGAAGCAAAAAGTACAATCGCCTTCTAGGACTGAACTTTGGAGGTGCGGAACAATATCGCTGCAAACTGAAAGCAAGTCTGTAAAGAACGGAATAATACTCTAATAAACTTGAAAAAAATGATATTTAGTTTGCTGTGTAATTTCCTGTTGTTTTCTGTTTTTTTTACTGTTTGACTGGAAATTAAATTAATGAAGGGTGGTCTCTGACTTTTGCACACCACTGAAGTTACATATAAAGGAAATAGCTGCACAGCATGGCCAAATAAATATACTGTGTTGTTTAAATAAACATTGCCTTGGCCTGTGATGTAACACTCTGTACGCTTAACACCTGAAATTACCTCATGACAGGCTTTAAAGGCACTAATTTCAGTGTCAAATGAACACCACTCTCGCTGCCTTTGGAAATTTGGAAAATATGTGTTCCCTCATTATTTTAATTTGAAGTTTTCTAACAAACATTTCAATATTGTGCTACAGACATTAAAATGGTTAACATCAAAAGCAAGTGTGGTTTTACTCTTTGACTGGTGATGCAGATCAGATTTTGAAATGTAATTACATAAGCATAAATAAGGAGTGTATTTAGGCACCATTCTTTTACCACATTCGAGGGCACACCATTAATTTATAATATATATTATATATAATATTTTTAAGTTCCTTAAAAAAGAAAAAGCAACATTAGAAACCATGTATTTATATATCCCATGTCTAAAAACTGTTCTCTTATAGCAGACGAATGCCCACACACACACTCACACACACACACACGCACACACACACACAGAGTGCATGTGTGTGCGCACTCGTCTGCTATAAGGCACAGCAGCATTCGAACAGCTGAGAAGCTAATGGTCCAGCTGAAAACAGATGGACCCATGATAACACTAAACCCCTCCAAGCCAAAACACTAACCCAAGCATGAATGAATGCACACATATACCCTCCACCACAACATATTCACACCATTTTGTAGGCGTTCAGTTTGGTAATCATTGCCCAAGTAGGCTCAAAGCTCAAAACCATGATCTGTCACTGAACAATATCCGAATCTCTCAAAGCTGGCACTGCATTAAATTTGACTTCCACTGATTATAATTCAATTGCTGAGATTCAGTGATGTGAAATGCTGCATTGTAGATAAACGTATAGATTTCTTTGCTGTGGTGGTGACAGAAACCAAGGGTTGCAACACCTGCAGTGTAAATATAACCATTTTTTAATTTCTGTCCAAAATGGCCGGTGAACCTACACGTGTTTTTGTACTGTACTGTGCAGAAACCACCTTTTTTATTTCATTTCCAGTCAAAACGGCCACAAGTACAGGTTTCCAGCGTCATGGAAAAATGCACAAAACATACATGTTTAAGAGGGGGAGTGTGTTATCGCGTTGGTCGCCGTAGATCATCACAGCCGTGATGTTATTGGCGATAACACACTCCTTGAGTGTTCTATTGCTTCTATACAACAGTTAAATAAAAAATGTGTAGTCTGATCTTCAGAGTCTGACCAAATCAGACTGAGCCATAAAACTGCCGCAATATCAAGTTTAGCTCAGTTTTGTCAGTTTTTGCCAGATCAATATTAACGTTGTTTTGTTCCAGCCAGTCTGTAAAGCATCTTACAGCCCATTTAGTTTGGCGAATGGTGTTGGGTTCATTTCTGGCTGATTCCAGGTTGTTTAGCTGTTCTTCTGTCTCAGCTGCCGACTGAAACGCTGCTCAGTGGTGATGACAGTTTGGAATTTATTGTTTTTTGTCCAATTCTTTTTTTTTTTCTCAGTAATGCCTTCTTGGCAGCTACACGGCCTTTCAGACCCATATCACTGAGGTGTCTGCTCAAAGTGGAAGAACGGACAGAATGGATGTTTCAGATCTAAAGCAGAAGTGGAACTCTGAAAGATGAAAGCTTTAAGTACTTCAAGTTTATCTGATGGCGACAGTTTTGGTGGTCTACCAGGTCTTGCATGGTTTTTTTGAAGTCCCATTTTCTGACTTTTAAGATTATTTTAAACTCCACTTTTGGAATACAACGGTAACTAAAGGATAAATCTGACAAATATTATCAGTTTTCTTCGAATACTGTTTCGCTTCACAACACACTACATGTGGAATTTACCATGGATTTATTTTTAAAAATATTGTTTATAACATCGTCTCAGACATCCAGCAACGTATTTGTACCCAATTCAAAGAAATGTTTTCTGTGAAGTCGCTTTTACAAGCATTAAACCTTTCTGCTGTCTGATTCCCATCACAGCCAATTCTGACTGGGTACGTTCTTCTCTAGATCATGCATTTCACATGAAAACACTTTGAATTACTTTGTTTACATACTATTTTTTTTGAAAATTCAGTAGAATTCGCTCAGCGTAATGTATCGTCATCATTTCTATTAGTGGGTTTTCTGTGTTCTCTGTATCAGCTGTAGGTATGGACCATTACATTTACTGAGGAAGGATGTAGCACAGACACTGAGACGCTGACCCACAGTTATCAAACATCTCAAGAACATCTCAAGATTTTTTGCTTTTCTATTTATTATGTTTATATTGTTAACTCCTCACCATCACACGTGCAACATAAACCAGTACCTCATGTGCAAAACTCAAAGTGAAATTTGGGTAAAATATCCTTACAGTGTAAATATTTTAGCTTTTATTGATTTATAATCCTTTATATTGTTTATTTTTGTGAAAGTTTATATTTTTTATCTTATTTTTTACTTTTAGTATTATATATATTGTCTGTATAGCAACAAGTAATTAAAAAGGTTAATTAATTGCTCGTTAATTCTCTTCTTTTTCTTGAGTGTCCTGCTCTCCCTTTGCTGCTGTAACACTGAGAATTTCTGAGAAAGACTAATAAAGGATTATCTTATCTTATCTTAACTGATAAAAGGAAGTGGTCCACTTTTTCCATACAGATGTATTCCGTAGGATAAACAGACAAAACACTTGCTCTAGAAGGTAAATATGGGTCTCTGTGATTCCTATTCATACCAAAAGACTACTTTAAACCAAAAAAGCTTTTTTTTTGTTTTAGAAAACAATCCAGATCTGTGAATTACAGGACAGAACATAGTCCATTTTATTCAGTTACGATTCGCTATGTAACAGTTTCAGTGTTTATGTCTTGGAATAGTCTTTGCATGTTAGTCCAGAATCCTCAGCTGTTCCAACAGGCGATTGCTGCTCTTTCTGCCAAGCTGTAGAGCAGAGTATCACGGGGAGTTGACAGAAGCTGACTAATTGGTTCTGACATCGGGAGGGTGAGAGGGAAGTAATGTCACACTTTTCACTTGCTATCAAAAATTTCTGCAACATTCAGCATGCACTTATAAAAACAGAAAGTGAGACAGCGAGACAGTGGTTCATTTACACTATGCTTAATGTAGTATTGTATGTGGTTCTAATGTTTTTTTTGTTTTGTTTTTACAATCATAGTATTCTGCAGGCAACCACGAAAGAGCATATGGGGCGATCCTGACTTTTGGCAAGAGGCAGTGATGTCCTGAACCTAACCACTGCCAAGATTTACCATGCGAGACACAGAGTACGCTCAAACGCTTAAGCCTTGCTTCCCTGTTAAGGATTCTCAACACCAGGACTGAGGAAGAGGAGAGAAACATTCCCCAAATGGACCTCGTATTTACAGCTGACGCTGCATTTTATCGACCTTGGCATATGCACAAGGAAAAACAAAGACCAGGATGTGATTATAACTAGTAATAAATAGTTTTCGAAACCTGGGAGATTCAAATCAAGGATGCTCTCTAAGGCCACGCATGAGGAAAAAAAAGCTTGTTTGGAAAAGTGATTTGGATCCAGGTTGGTGCTGGGATCCCTAGACGCTTCTGATTTCTAGTCAGTCAGCGAGTCTCAGTCCAGGTCCGGTTTCTGCCAGATAGCTCTGTGCATAAATGACCACATGCCTGCCTGTTTTGACATGGCAGAATGAAGGTCCTGGCTTGTCTGCTTTGTTTCAGAGAAAACAAATTTGCCCTTCGTTGATCTGAAATGAGCCAAGGCAGCCGTGTGTCAGTGCATCTGTCTTTTTCTTACAGGCTTTGAATGCTTCAAAAATTAGTGTTCACTAAAAATACCTAATATGTTTCTATATCAAAATTAGGGATGCAAGATACACGACATAGCCAAATGTTTGGACACCCCTCCCAATGATTGTGTTCTGGTGTTTCAGCCACATTCTTTGCTAGGAGGTGTATAAAATCAAGTGCATAGCCATGCAGTCTCCACATACAAACACTGGCTGACAAAAGCTCAGTGACTTTACATGTTTCACTGTCATCGGGTGCCACTTTTCACAGTTAGTTTGTGAAATTTCTGCCCTGGTCAAATGTAGGGCTGTTTTTCAGGGTTTGGGTCCCCTTAGTTCTAGTGAAGGGTAATGGTAATGGTACAGCATACAACAACATTTTAGACCACACATGAAGAGCTTGTTCGCAAAAACAAATATCTCTATTTTAATTAATTTTCACAAATCAGGTTTTTATTGTGAATTCTAGGTAATATCAAGTCAAACTGCAGTTAGATTATTTTGATTAAGTAAAAATAACAAAATACAGGTAACTTACAAAATTTTTCCCACCCAATAGTTACAACTCCCCCCCATTAACATGACCCTACCAGCTCTAGGAGGGCGAGGGCTAGCTTAGGCTTCCTCTGAGACCTGTGAAGCACCACCGCATTGCATTTTTCGAAGTGCCGCTCACGCAACGTCACTGGACAGCCGAACACGCTCGGAGGGAAGCGCCAACCGCCAGATCTGTTACGCCTGCGCTGAGTAGCACTGTATTTGAGTGATGGGGGACACGGGGGGGCATCCTACCCACCCAGAAACAGAGAGGCCAATAGTGCTCTCTTGGACTCCCGGACACGGATGGCTGTAGCACCAGGGATCGAACTCGCAATCCCCTCGTGATAGGGTCAACGTTTAAATGGTCGCACCACTCGGGAGCTGAAAAATTATTAATTTTTTTATTTAAATTTTGTTTATTTGCGAGAGTAGATAACTCCAACGGCTATTTCATGTTTCAGAGTTAAAGCTATGTAATGAATACGAGTTTCTTTTAAGTGCAATATTTAACATTCTTTAACATAAAACAAGTAGATAAAGTGCTGAAAATTGCAAAAACAGCCCATTAATGGAGAATTTTAAACATCTATGAGATCATACCTCAGAAAATCCTGAGGCTGAACCTCAAACGGCTCACTAGTGCACTATGTGAGTTATGAAATTTTGGCTTTATGTCCAGCATGGAATTGTTCACACATGGCTGAATTCAAAGTGGTCCTCTGTTAGACACACTGTGCACTGTTTAGATGCAGTAGCCAATATTTTGACCTATGTAATGAACTTTCTATGGAGAAGATTTTGCCTAAAGCAGTTTGCGGCAGTGTTGTGTCACCTGAGCTGAATACTGCGCACTGATTCGGTGACCGGATTAACCGGGTTCTGCTGGAGAACAGCGCTGGCGCTTGATTGTTTCTGCTGTAGAACGTAAACCTGTGATGCCTTGACAATGAACAATAATGGCTTTTGTGACGAAACGTATTTAGGGCTCAGAATGAGCTGTGTGTTAAGAGTAATTCACGACCATCAGCTGTTTTTTTTAAAGGATGGCGTTTATTGTTTTTTTGCAAACAAGCTCTTTATGTGCCTCCAACTTTGTGGCAACAGTTTGGAGAAGGCCCTTTCCTGTTCCAGCAGGACTGAGCCCCTGTGCATAAAGCGAAGTCTATAAAGACATGGTGTGACGAGTCTGGTGTGGAGGAGCTCCAGTGGCCTGCTGAGAGCCCTGACCTCAACCCCACTGACTACCTTTGGGATGAACTGGAACACTGACTGCCAAACAGGCCCTCTCATCCAACATCAGTGCCTGACCTCACCAAAGCTCTTTTGACTGGGCACAAAACTAGGACTAGAGTCGGGAGCCACTGGCACAGTGGATAATATCACTGCCATCTGAAGCCCACAGAAGATCATGGGTTCAGTTTCCTTTCTAGGCTCCAGCCTACCCATAGACCCATCGCAATTACATAATTGCCAGATATTTGAGCTTTGAGATTGTAATTATTTTTCACAGCTGTTATCTTTTACAATTGTATGTTTACATTACAAACAAACTGTGAATTTCTATCTGTAGGGTAAATTCATGTAAATAAAAGAAAGCAGAAAAAGGGATTTATTGAGATCATCATAAATCTGATGAAAACTCCAAAGGTTCTAACTTCTGGCTAGAGCTTTAACATGTTTAGAAAGCAGTGATGAGTAATGTTTGTTTTTTTCTTGAGCTGTGGGTAACACTCTATTCTGAGTGGTCCTTTGTAGATGATTAATAAACTCTTTACAGATTATCAGTAACACATCAACAACATATCAGTGAAGCATCTGAATACATGGAAGTAAATATCTTGTAGATGTTCTGTTAATATGTTACTTCCATTATGCAAAACCTAACCTTACCAACCTTACCCAACACCTAATCCTCACCCTGGGCCTAATCCTAACCCTGACCTTAATCTCAACCCAAAACCTAATCCTTACCCTCACTCTGGCCCTAATCCTAACCCTGACCTTAATCTCAACCCAAAACCTAATCCAGCCCTCACCCTGACCCTAATCCTAATCCTAACCTAACCTTAACCTCAACCCAAAACATAATCCTAACCCTCACCCTGACCCTAATCCTAATCCTAACCCTAACCTCAACCCTAAACCTAATCCTAACCCTCACGCTGACCCTAATCCTAATCCTAACCTAACCTTAACCTCAACCCAAAACATAATCCTAACCCTGACCCTAATCCTAATCCTAACCCTAACCTTAACCTCAACCCTAAACCTAATCCTAACCCTCACGCTGACCCTAATCCTAATCCTAACCTAACCTCAACCTCAACCCAAAACATAATCCTAACCCTCACCCTGACCCTAATCCTAATCCTAACCCTAACCTTAACCCCAACCCAAAACCTAATCCTAACCCTCACCCTGGGCCTAATCCTAACCCTGACCTTAACCTCAACCCAAGCCCTAATCCTAATCCTCATATGTTTTTGACATGTTACTGAGAGTCCATTTAGTGTTTGTTTAATCTAAAAAGGACACTCAAAATAAAGTGTCCTTAGGGAAGTATTGACCGCTAGGAATCAATTTGGGCACTTTTGCTTCTACTTTAATAGCTGCATACAATTAACCAAAAAGACAAACTGTTAATCACAATCATTTATAAAAAGATTTTATATATATATATATATATATATATATATATATAAATAATTCCATGTTCGTGCCACACCTACAGAAGTCACTCAGGAGAAATAAACTGCTTGGTATCAGTATCAGCTACAATACAGTAAATCAACGATTATCGTTATCTGCCCAGAAATACCATATTGATGATCTCCACTTTAAAATGTTTATAGATGTGAATCTGACAATTGAGCAGATCTGCCAGACGTCTCCAGCCAGTACAGCGTAATATATATCACTCTGTATTAGCCTGGCAATCGTCCAATAACTCTCACCACAGAAGTGAAGACATCCAGGCACTATAAAGCCACAGTGAACTACAACCATTTTCTTTCATGACATTTCCATTGGTCCCCTCCCCTCTTTCCTCCTGAAGCCACCACACTGAGGCACTTAAATTCCAGAGGTGTGAAGAACGGCATTGTGGGAGAGCAAGCAGCTCCTGCACATTTGTTAAAGCAGCCGGCAGTCCGGTCCTTAATGGTCTCTGGCATTTGTGAATGGTGGCGAAAGATCAATTTATCCGCACCGGATGTTGGTAATGAGAGGAGAATAACTGCGGGATGATTCATCGCTGTTCCCCCTGAAAAGAGGCTCCGATCCGGAGCTGAATGGTGCTGTTTTTCATTCGCTGAGAGCGAAGACTTGCTCCGGTACTTATCTCTGTGATTGTGACAGAGGGGTCGGCCCAGCTCAGGGCTCCAAGTCCCTCAGCCGGAGCTGAGCAGGAGGACTGCTCGTGATAAACTAGAGCCTGACAGGCTCGCAGGCATGGTACATAGGAGCTACCGGCACTGGAGCGCGCCACCCAGCGAACGAGGGAGCCAGTGACCTAAGACTCGAGATTAATGCCGCAATGTGTAAATCCAAGCGGAATAGAGTGGAATTTCATGGCATCTGCACTCAAAACTCAAAAGCGTTTTCGATTTTATTTTGTTCTCTGTACAACAAAAGGACAAGAACCATGGTTACCTTGAAAGAACACAGAATGTAGGTGTTAATGCTGGTAAATAGGTAAAGAGTTAAATTCTACAGGGAGATTCACTCAAAAGAGGCCCCGAATATTCTATAATAACTCTCGCTAGGACGAAGCAATCTGAACAAAACAACATGCAATGAGCTCCTCAGTATATGGAGCTTGGAACAACCTGGGATGCCCCTGCGCCAGAGCGATGAGGTAGGCGCCGGACAGCCGTCATGACGTTTAACCTCCGTTTGCAACTTCCGAGTGCATACCGCCGTACCCCTTCATGTGTCTGGCGGAAAACGGAGATCACTTCCAGCATCGCATGTAATGCAATCGATTACACACACGTCAATGTATGCAGCGTATTTTTTGGTTCAGATGGCTTCATCTTAACAGGAGCTACAACAGAATATTTGGGGCCTCTTTCAAGTGATTCTCCCTGTATTTACTGTACGCTTCACTGCCTTACCGGTCTGGTCCAGTGCATTGGTCTGCGTTGAGTTCAAAGCCTGCACAATGAGACTGGTCTCCTTTAGGACATCCATCAATGGGACACGTCACGCCTCTTGTGCATCATCTCCACTGTCCCACCTGAAGAAACACCAAACAGAGGACTTGAAGTTGTACCCCAACAAAAGCGCACCTGAAAATATAGCACTGTGACAGACTTCAATTCATGGGAACTGGTAAAAACTGGTAAAAGAGTCCTCTATTTCATGCCACTGGGAACACTGTGTCACTCCCTGTGCATCATCTTCACTGTCCCACAGCAAAAAACACCAAACAGTGGACCTGATGTTGTGCCCCAGTTCTCAGTAACAGACTCCTTTATATCAGTTCACTCATACTAGTAAATTTGGAGGATTCCTGTTTTCAATGCCACTGAGAACACTGTGTACAGTGATTGAAGTGAGTCTCCACTCCGCCATGAACCCAAGTCACTCATGCTATGAACTTTAAATCTGCGAGGCGAGAAGTTCGTAAAGAATCACAGCTATGATCACCAAGGCAACGCAATGGAGCACTTTGCTATTTTAATCTCAATTTCACATTGACATTATAGTTGTTAACCCCTGGAAACCTAGTACGTATATATAGCTTTTAATTTATTTATTAAGTATTTACAACATAAGAAAAGCAAATGCGTGAGGCCGCCCTCCTCCAGGATTTAGCCCACGTGCTCAACAGACACAGACCGCCTGCTCAAAGGACTGGGCTCATAGGAACCACAGTGCTGGACTCGTAGTGACTAAGCGGGGAAGAAATGAAGGATATACATAGCTCTACTGAGCAAACTGAAATCTCCATGTAAGAGCCATTTGCTGCTCTAGCACTACAGTGACAGGAGGAATAAAGGGGAGAGAAAAGGGAACAGGCCACATATCACACCTAATGAGCAGAAAGGGGAGGCAGAGAAGAGAAAAAGAGATAAAAGTAAAACTGTCTTCAAAAGAAAAAGATGAACCTGAGCAGAGGTTTATGAGCGGGGAAGTCAGCCATGAGGCTAAAATAATACAGTTTGGACTGTGCATTGCGGATGCTGTCAGTGAGGGGTAGAGGGCTGCCTGAAGCGGTGGAGAGGGAGAGAGGGCCTCTGCAGTCGAGCAGTCATGCACACGTTGTATTAAATGTCAGTTGAGGGATGTTGATTGCATGGAATAGCATCCCTCTGGCTTATGTATTCAGCTGGAGAAGAAACCAACATCCGACAGTGTTGCCCCTGTCCCCCCAGCACAGGGACGCGCTACGTGATTGGGTTTGTGTTGAACTACCTTCTTACTCAACTTTTTTTCTTTACACTGTATCTATTTAACCTTTGTGTAATAAGGCGAGCCAATTAAGAACAAACTCCCATTTAAATTAATTAATTATGAAACCATTTCACATTCAACGTCTTACCTTCACAGCTGCAACCTTTAAAATATCTGATCTGCTGCTAATTTATTGGCCGCAAATTCAACAGCCGCTTAAATGGCATATGATATAAAAACCGTCACAGACATTTTTATATTCAAAAACATTTCAATACAGCCTACAGTAAACTCTACCACCCCGAAAGGTTCTACCACGCCAACTCTATCTTCTAAATGGCAAAGGAAATCTTTTGAAAACTTTGTAAAAGAGGAACGTTCTGGTGAAATATACCTTCCCAGAGTGATGTTTGATATAAAACTATGATTTCAGATATTTATCTATATAACAACATTTGAATAGAACCTACAGCAACATGCCATCTTAAACTCTCCCACCCCAGCTCTACCTCCACTTTCAATCATACTAAACCTTGTTGAGTCAATGTAGTTTCAGGCCTGTTATGAATTTGCAGCTGTTTGTCTTCTTTCCAACATTACCAGAAGCCACACTTCATAACTCACAATGGTTAAAACGTCCAATTTCCTGATAATCCATTAGCCACTAGTTTAACGGTGGTTTCAAATAGCAAAAGAAATCTTATAAGATCTTTATAAAGCACTAACGTTCAGGTCAGTTATGAATTCTCAGAGCGATTCTGGCTGACATAAAACAATGACTTCAAATATTTATCTACACAAGAACATTTCAATAAACTCTCAAGTGTTTTGGCTGGAGTTTCAAGTGGCTGTGGGTTTGACTCAAATGTTCAGGGAAGTTATAAATTCTCAGAGTGATTGGGTCGGGTATAAAACAATGATGTCAAATATTGAACCCACAGCCACTTGAAACTCCAGCCAAAACACTTGAGAGTTTATTGAAATGTTCTTGTGTAGATAAATATTTGAAGTCATTGTTTTATGTCAGCCAGAATCGCTCTGAGAATTCATAACTGACCTGAACGTTAGTGCTTTATAAAGATCTTATAAGATTTCTTTTGCCATTTGAAACCACCGTTAAAACTAGTGGCTAATGGATTATCAGGAAATTGGACGTTTTAACGGTTGTGAGTTATGAAGTGTGGCTTCTGGTAATGTTGGAAAGAAGACAAACAGCTGCAAATTCATAACAGGCCTGAAACTACATCGACTCGACAAGGTTTGGTATGATTGAAAGTGAAGATGGCAGATTCTACCACCCCAGCTCTGTCTTCACTTCTAATGAGTGCGTTCACATGCACTCAATATCCGATTATTCATGCAGTTATCTGATTATTCAAACGGTCATGTAAACACCTTACTCCGATCTAGAACTCTGACTAAGAAATCTGATAAAGAGGCTGGATTTTAGCTCAGTAATCAGAGTTCTCAGTGCATGTAAACTCTGACTCTGATTTCTTTCGAATGTCTCAGACTGTGGTACTAGAAATAAGCAGCAGAACATTTTTGGAGCGACACTGAAACCAAACACAAAAGAAATTATTTAAATATTTTCTATCTTTTAGATGGTGTATGCATATTTTCAGGTAAAGTGGCGGGATGAAGCATGAAGACAAACAAAGCAGAAATCTGATGACTGTCTGACTCATTTCGACCCAGAGTTTCCCCATTATCTGATGACTCAAGTGCATATGAACGTGTTGATCGGATTACTGACAAAATCTGATTTTCTGCAGTCATCAGATTATTAAGTGCATGTAAACTCACTTAGTGATATTAAACCTTGTCAAGTCAATCTACTTCATACATGATTTGACTTGCAGCTGTTCGCCACCCACCATCACCAGAAACTGGTAGCAGCCACACTCCACGACTCACAGCCTTTAAAAAAGTCTAATTCACTGCTAATTGATTAGCTGAGAGGAACTTTCAGGTAACATGTATATATCCAGAGTGATTAGGTTTGACATAAAACCTTGATTTCAAACGTTCATCTAAGAACGTCTGGATAGAACCTACAGCAACGAACCACCTAAAACTCCCAGCCAAAACACACGAGAGTTCTACCACCACAGCTCCATCTCCACCTTCAATAACATTAAACCTGCCACATCGATAAAGTTTCAGGTGCGGTTTGATTTGCAGCTGTTTCTAGTCCTCCCAGCATTACTGGAAGCTGCACTTTGTGACTTGCAACCTTTAAAATGTCCAACCTGCTGCTAATTCATTAGTGACTAATTTTACATTTGTGTCAAATGGCAAAAGAAGTCGTGCGAAATCCCTTTAAAATAGTAATGTTGAGGTTAAACACACATTCCTAGATTGATTAGGTTTGACATAAAACCATGATTTCAAATATTTATCTATACAAGAATGTATTAATAGCACCTGCGGCAAAATGCCACTGAAAAGTCCAACTGAAACCATCTGAGAGTTCTACCATCCTCGATCCGACTTCACCTTCAGTGACATGAAACCTTATCCAGTCAATCTAGTTTCAGGCATGGTCTGATCTGGAGCTGTTCGTCCACCACCCACCGTCTCCAGACACTGGTAGTAGCCACACTCCACGCCTCACAGCCTTTATAGCTGGTTATTTGACGGAGGAATTTTCAGGTTAAACATATATTTCTAGAGTTATTAGGTTTGACATAAAACCTTGATTTATCTACGAACGTTCATCTAAGAACATCTGGATAGAACCTACAGCAACGCCACGTAAAACTCCCAGCCAAAACACACGATAGTTCTACCACCACAGCTCCATCTCCACCGTCAATAACATTAAACCTGCCACATCGATAAAGTTTCAATTACAGTTTGATTTGCAGCTGTTTCTAGTCCTCCCACCATTACTGGAAACTGGAAGCTGCGCTTTGTGACTTTCAACCTTTAAAATGTCCAAACTGCTGCTAATTCATTAGTCATCCAACTTCACCTTCAGTGATATTAAACCAGTCAATCTAGTTTCAGCTGTGGTCTGATTTGCAGCTGTTTCTAGTCCTCCAAACACGACCAGAAACTGGTAGCAGCCACGCTCCACGACTCACAGCCTTTAAAAAGTCTAATTCGCTGCTAATTCATTAGCTGATGATTTCACAGCTGTTTTAAATGGCAAAATAAATCTTTTCAAATCTTCATAAAAGACCAACGTTCAGGTCAGTTATGAATTCTCAGAGCGATTAGGTCTGGTATAAAACAATGATGTCAAATATTGATCTACACAAGAACATCTGAATAGAACCGTGGCACCTGAAACTCCACACCAAATCTTCTGAGAGTGTGGTCAGGTGTGGACTGATTTGCAACTGTTTCTAGTCCTCCTAACACGACCAGCGGCTACACTACACGACTCACTGCAACCTTTAAAATGCCCAATTTGCTTCTAATCCATTAGCTGCTAATTTCACAGCTGTTTCAAATGGCGAAAGAAATCTTTTGAAATCTTTTTTAAAAGGAATGCTGAGGTCAAATATAGTTTCCCAGAGTGATTAGGTCTGATATAAAACTGCGACTGCAAATAAACATTTATCTATACAAGAACATTTGAATAGCTGCGGCATTCAGAAGTCAATTGCGGGGCCTCGTCTGCAGCTCTAGGTGGAACAAAAGATGAGGCAAGGCGTGGGCGGGGGTGCCCAATTCCTCGGCGCCGGGCCTCATTGGGTCAGTGAGTAATTACTATGTGGTGCATGGCAAGCCTCGTCTGTCAGGTGCGCAAAGTCAATGATGCTGTTTTACATTCCTGCTGGTGGGCACAGCAGCTTCTGGAGAGTCAGAGGAGGTAGACGCTGTGAGGTT